ATATTGATTGAATAAGTATTTACAGGTTTTTTCCCTTCGCAACAGACATGTCAAGTACGGTACATTCAACATGAAAAACTTGCACTGGTCGTAGTATCGATGAATTGTAGTGGGAGTATGATTTCACACAAAAACCTGAAGCAAAATAGCAACTTAGTCCATGGTTGACCAAATATTCTTTAGCCTACGTAGTTGTCTGTAATTGATACTTCACACCAGAATTGGCCAATTGTACTTGGCTGTCAGAGTACCCATGTCACCTTATGCGCAATGATTAGCATATGACTATCTCATCGCTTTCGTGAAGTGTTAGCGGTCGTCTGCGCCTCATGGATGTGTGCTGGCCTACCTTGGCCGACAAGTGTGGAACATTTGTTGTTGCAAACAGCTGCAAGAGACAGAACCACATCTAATGTTGTGTATTTCTACGCCGTCGTCGCAGGCAAGTACCAAGTGTTTTGTAAACACCGACTCTAGATATCCGTCAGCAAGAGTCGTTTTGCATGTTAGTGTAGCCCACACTAAAGTGTTGGGACTGCATTTTCGATCTGGCGGACATGGGAGGTTTCAAGCTCAACAATGTCGCGCACATATTTGCGCTCCTGTGCGCCATCAACTTGCTTCGCTACCTCAACAGAGGGATCATCCCTGGCGCGCCTGTCGAGTTCCAAGCGTTCGTCCAGAAAACGGTCGAGAAACAAGACCTGTCGGTTCACGCGACCCACCCTCCCAGCAACGTCAGTACGTACTTCGGCCTCCTCGTGTCAGCCTTCATTGCGTCCAACTCGATCTTCATTTGCGTTTTCGGCTACATGAGCATGACTCGTCGCCCTTTCCTCCTCTCGGCCATCGGTCTCTTCACCTGGGTACTAGCCATCGTGTTGTGCGGCCTTGCCAAGCCCCTCGAGAACTTCTATGTTCTCCTCATCGGTCTATTGCTCAGCGGGATCGGCGAATCCTCCTTCCACGCCACAACTCCCCCCTTCATCGACGAATTCGCTCCAGCCAAGTCGCGCACATTGTGGCTCGGCGTGTTTTACTGCGGAATCTCGGTCGGGACCGCTCTTGGGTACACTTACGGTGGGATCATGGGCAAGATCTGGGACTGGGGTTTCTACATCACGGCAATCGTCATGTTCCCCATGGCGTACGCGTGCTGGCAGTGGATTCCTGAGCACTACGATTACCCGTTGGCGCACGGCGGGACCAAGGACCTCGAGCACATTGAGAGCCGCAATAGCCTCATGGGTCCTGGGTCGGTTAACCAAGGCGAAGTCCAAGCCGAAATCGCCAAGGAAATATCGATGGACGTCGAGCACCAAGCGAAGACATCTGTGTTGTCGGAAGTCGTCGTGATTGTAAAAGACCCCATGTTCATCACGGCCACTCTCGGAGTCGCCGCCTACTCGTTCACGCTAGCTGGCATGGGGGCGTTTGCTCCTGCGATCTTGATCGGGTACGGTATCCTGAGCGAATCGATTGCGTCGACCGCGTTTGGCGGGATTGTTGTCTTGTCCGGCATCATTGGGTCCCCTCTTGGCGGCTGGCTCATTGACTACCAAAGCCGCGGCCACGAGGACGACGAAACATTCCGGCTGCACGTTGCGGCTCGCCAAATGATTGTATTCATGACCATGGGCGTCGGGTTTGCCTTCTTGTCGTTGGCGTTCATGGGCAACACCGCCGTCTTCCTTGTGTGCCTGCTCCTCGCGCTCATCTTTGTCTTCACGACCCAAGCGGCCCAGACCCTCGTGATCCTCTACAGTGTGTCCAAGAACCGCCGCGGATTCGCTATGGGTCTCAATACTTTCTTCCTCCACTTGTTCGGCGACGTCCCTTCGCCCATTGTGCTCGGCGCCCTCAAGGACATGTGGGCGCCCAACTGCGGCAGCGTGTATAACGAACGGAACGAAGCCAAGCTTGACCCCAAGTGCTCCCAAGACAAGGACGGCCTTCGCTACGTTCTCATGTTTTCGTACGCGTGGCTGCTCTGGTCCGTCCTTATGTGGGGCCTTTCGTACTTCATCGCCCTCCACCGCCTCAACAAGGCCAGGGCACTCGCAGCCGCCCCTGTCGTCACCCCTGTGCAGTAATTGTTTAACCGAGGTCTATTTTAGCTGTCTGTTCGAGTCTCGGTAAGACGAACTCGCTCCAGCCAAGTCGCGCACATTGTGGCTCGGCGTGTTTTACTGCGGAATCTCGGTCGGGACCGCTCTTGGGTACACATACGGTGGGATCATGGGCAAGATCTGGGACTGGGGTTTCTACATCACGGCAATCGTCATGTTCCCCATGGCGTACGCGTGCTGGCAGTGGATTCC